AAGAAAGAAAGAAAGAAAGAAAGAAAGAAAGAAAGAAAGAAAGAAAGAAAGAAAGAAAGAAAGAAAGAAAGAAAGAAAGAAAGAAAGAAAGAAAGAAAGGAAGAAAGGAAGAAAGAAAGAAAGAAAAGAAAGAAAGTTAGTTTCCACTAGGAGACATTCTCCTCTGAAATCAGTAATTGAGAACACCTTTGAAGTTCTGGCCCATTCTTTCTGTGACATGTGCAATAACAACTTTTACAACACCTGGCAAGGAGTGAGACATGCTTCATGTACTTTTGGCAGACGTGTTCACAAGCTAACATGTCACAAATCTATATACCTTAAAACGAGTAAGCATTTTATGCTCTTGTCTGTTGTCTGCACATATAGTGAGATCAGTGTAATGACGTACACAGTACAGCAATGCCAAAATTCCTTCTTGTTGCCTCAACACTTTAAAATTTGTGCCTCCAACAACTTCAAGCCAATCAGCCAATGCAGGGGCAGGAGAGGGATACTGATACTGACTGTGTCATGTGCCCAGAATGATGTCATGTATTTATTACTGGTAAATGTAACTCAGGTTATGCTAATGTTGCAAAGCCATCTGATGGAGATGCCTGTACATACAGCATATCTGAAGTAGAGAGACTGGCAAATGAACCTATGGGATCACAGAATATTAAGCGTATTCAAGTTTACCACTGTTTGCCTTTCTTAGATTGTCTGTAGTACACACTGTTTCCTCTGTAATATTGACTGGGTGCATATTATAAAAGTATGTGTGGAAAGAAATCTAAATATGTATTTATACATTCATACATAGCTTTTTCTGTTTTGTTTAGCAAAAAATAAGACTGCACACACTGGTACAAACATTGCATAATAAAAGTTGCAATGGGAGATACTGCTTTTCCTACATGCTGATCATTAAACATTGAAAGATGATTTTGTGTAAACTTTGGATTTACCTTGTTCTGCACCAATGCAGATGTATGCTGCCATACATATCTCATAGGCTTAAAATTTGCAGAAGATTTACTAACAGCCTACAGGTCTTCCTCATCCAGCAGATCTATGTAGTAAGAGTGTTTATATGTATTTGTTTTCAGAATAGCCTGAATTTACAGAACTAGGTCTATTCAGTAAAAAAATGTTTTTTAAAAATCCCTATAAGACTGGTCTTAGTGTTTTATTCACTTAAAAAAACAAATAAACAAACAAAAAAAAAAACACAAAAAAATAGGAAGCATCGGACAGTCAGTAAGGAGAAAATAAGGAGAATCTAACGAGTGCTGTAGGAAAATTCATGTTTTTCAAAAGAAATAGACCATAAGTATACTATTAGGTAAGAGCTTGTCTGTACTGCATGACATGTCTGCTATTTTCTCCAGGAGTCAGGATATGTGTCTGTTCAGACTGTATCATTTGGAGTTATGCTTATGGCTCTTCTTCTGTCTTAAAAAAAATATTTACACAGGATTATGATTAACTGTCCTGGTGCCATGTTGGTGGGCACACTCTGTAAAACAGCTCAATATCATGGCAGAAAATTGTCCTTTCCTACAATAGGAATAAGGTAGAGAAATTGGTCCAACAAGTGGAATCTGTTTATAAGGTAACATTATAAACTGGAAAAATTAACAGGGCAGATCACATTGTATGATATTCAGTATTCTTCATTCTGGGCAGATGTTTTGGCTTCATTTAGTTTGAAGAATTCAGAAGTCCATTTAAAACTTTGTGCTGTGGCTGAATGTGTCAGACATGATGATATTTTTATAAAAGTTATCAGAGTGAGGATTGCAGTATCCCTTGACCTTGTCAATAACCTGGTGGACAGGAATGATTGATGTCTGCTCTCCGTCCTCTTGGGCAAATTTTGAAGATGGCTTGTCAACAAAAATATTCTCTAGGAAGAGGAAAAAGAAACAAGAAGTTAGGGCTTCTTAAGCAAACTCATATTTTAAGAGGTGTGTCACTCCCACATGGATATGCCTTCAATTGCCACTACTGCTGAAAGAAATTACTGCCCTTGAAGCCAGCATGTAACATTTTTGGCTTGGCATTACTTCTTCTAACTTCTTTTCCAATGTCTGTTTTGGTGATCAGGCTTCTCAGGTCTCTCTCAAAATTATCTCACTATCCCTTTGCCTAAAGTTCTGTCGCTGCCCATTCATATGTTAATTTAGTTGTTAATCTTACAAAGTACTAGAAAGAGAGGGATGACCATAAAATATGGCATCTCCATTTAATAAAGTACTGAAAAATGACCTTAAGTGGTTTTAATTACTTCACTTGTGGAAGTTATAATCTATGCATAGGAATAATTGCAGAATGTAATATATGACTTACTCTTAAATCAGATAACCAGAACCAAAACTGGACTATACTTTGCATTTACATAGAATAAAGTTGTATTTTCCATAAAAAAAGGACAGTACAGATTGAACAACTGTAGGGATCAAAAGATGCAGAAAATCCACATCCTTTCAAAGTTTATGTGCTACATGCCAATGGAGGAGTTTAAGAAAAATAAGGAATAAAATATTTTCCCGTAAGGCAGTTTCCAGCAGGGTAGGGGAAATCTTCAGAGGCTAACAGAATTGCTATTCAGAGGATGGGCAGTAGGTAGAGCTCAAGTAATAAGCAATGAGGAACTGAGATTGTAACTTATTTTCTCAAGAACACTGCCTTAATGAGCTTTCTTATCTCTTCCACTGTAGTGAGTACGGTAACTCTCAACACAGGCAAGGCCTGGGCCATCATAAACCAATAGAAAAATGAAGGATTCTGTGCAGCAGTGTGTTCTACAAGTGGAATTTTTGATGGCTGATTAGAAGACCTAGGTGAAATCACCCTCAAAATTCCTCAGTAAAAGATCATTTAAAAACACAGCATACAATTTAAAATTAGATTTCACACCATACTTGTCTTCTATATAAACAAATTATTATTGAAAAACAAACAGGAAAGAAGATACCCCATACAGAAGTCATGATATCAAACCATAAGGAATTTTTCAGTATAATGAATTGCATGAAAGAGAAATGGATGGCAGAGCAAGAAATCAAAACAGCCTCGCTCATTACAAAAAGAAACAGGCACGTTCAGGCGTATCAGAATGATTTTTTCAAAGCACGCAAGAATGTCCATGAACTGCAGCAAGTAACTCCATGTCCAATAGTGAACTGCTGGGTACTGTGTGCCTCTCAAGTGTATGTATTTACAAGCCAATGGTACTATATTTTGGAATTTTTCTATATATTGAGTAACATTACAAAGATTAAAAATTTAAATCTTAGTTGTTAGAGAAAGTTTTTAAAACTCTTGGAAGTTCCACCCTCCGCATACCACCCCCTCACAGGACACCATTACATTGTTAAACAGCTATTTCCTTATGAAATCCACTTGCATGGGAATTATGTAAATTCTTTGAAAACAGTGGAACCCTTATTTTTTTAAGATTCCCATCTGTTCCCTTCCTTTCTGTTCCGTTCCGTTCCATTCCCTTCCCTTCGCTTCACGTCTCGCCCCTTCATGCCCCTTCATGCCCCTTCATGCCCCTTCACACCTCTTCCCTTCATGCCCCTTCCCCTCCCTTCCCCTCTCTTCCCCTCCCTTTCTCCTCTGTCCTCCTCTCTCCCCTTTCCTTCCTTCCTTCCTTCCTTCCTTCCTTCCTTCCTTCCTTCCTTC